ATTCCTTAAAGTCTCTTTCTGTATATATGTATATACACTTCCTGTTGGTTCTGTTTCTATGGAGAACCCTGACCAGTACATCATATGACCTAGCGATTCCATTTCTGGGTATGTGCCCCAAAGAATTGAAAACCGCTATTAAAAAACAAAGCAAAACATGTACCTAAATGTTCACAGAAGCGTCTCTCTCTATAAATAAAAGGCTAATATGCAAAGTGTCTCCTCAGGAGTTCGACCGGGAGACCAGGAGTTCGATCGCTCACTATGACGTGTGCTGACCACCAAGGGGCAGCGTGGAATGAAGGAAGGCTCCGGCTGCCAGCCAGAAGGCCCCCATGGGCCCTGGTCGCCCACCAGGCCTCTAGTTATTTATAATAGCCCCAAAGTGTAAACAACCCACACGGCCATCAACGGATTTATGGATTAACAAAAGGTGATAGATCCATGCAATGGAATATTACTCACCCATAAAAAGGAATGGAGTTCTGCCCTAGGCAGCATGGCTCAGTGGATAGAGCATCAGCCTATGGACCAAAGGGTCCCAGGTTTGATTCCAGTCAAGGGCACATACCTCGGTTGCAGGGTTCTCCCCAGCCCATTCCTGGTCGGGGCTCATGCAGGAGGCAACCAGTTGATGTGTTTCTCTCGCATCGATATTGCCCTCTGTCTTTCCCTCTCTCTTCCACTCTCTCTAAAAATCAATGAAAAATATCCTTGGGTGAGGATTAAAAAAAAAAAGAAATGAAATTCTGACACATGCTACAACATGGATGAAACTCAAAAACATTATGTTAAGTAAAGAAGCCAAGCCTGGCCGGCGTGGCTCAGTGATTGAGCGGCAACCTATGAACCAGGAGGTCACAGTTTGATTCCCAGTCAGGGCGCATGCCCGGGTTGTGGGCTCCATCCCCAGTGTGGGGTGGGCAGGAGGCAGCCGATCAATGATTCTCTCTCATCATTGATGTTTCTATCTCTCTCTTCCTTTCCCTTCCTCTCTGAAATCAATTAAAATAATAATAAAAATAAAATAAAAAAGAAATATATTTTTTATTGGTTTCAGAGAGGAAGGGAAAGGAAGAGAGAAATAGAAACATCAATGATGAGAGAGAATCATTGATCGGGTGCCTCCTGCCCACCCCACACTGGGGATCGAGCCCGAAATCCAGGTATGTGCCTTGACTGGGAATCAAACTGTGACCTCCTGGTTCACAGGTCGACGCTCAACCGCTAAGCCACACTGGTGAGGCTATATTTCCTTTTTTTAAAAAGAAAGAAATCAGACACAAAAGGCTACGCTATTGGAGGGTCTCATTTCCATGAAATGGCCAGAATAGGTAGATCCACAGATGCAGAGAGCAGGTTAGTGGTTGCCAGGGCTT